CTAACGGCACTTGCTCCCACAGCTTGTGTGGGCTACACGGGGGATCTTTGTCTTATCCTGTATATGTATGAATGGCAGTGAGTTGACCGCTCTGGTTTTGTGCTCCTATCGAGGTATGCGAGGGTGTGGTAGACGAGGATTAGGTACGTGAGGGCGAAGTGGGCGAGGACGAGGTAGACGAGGTGGGTGTGGTGGGCCTGGTGAGCAAAGGGCGTGGTAGGTGTGGTGGGTGTGGTAGACCAGGTAGACCAGGTAGACGAGGTGGGTGTGGTGGGCGAGGTGGGCGAGGGCGTGGTAGGTGTGGTGGGTGTGGTAGACCAGGTAGACCAGGTAGACGAGGTGGGTGTGGTGGGCGAGGTGGGCGAGGTGGGCGAGGGCGTGGTAGGTGTGGTGGGTGTGGTAGACCAGGTAGACGAGGTGGGTGTGGTGGGTGTGGTGGGTGTGGTGGGCGAGGTGGGCGAGGGCATGGTAGGTGTGGTGGGTGTGGTAGACCAGGTAGACCAGGTAGACGAGGTGGGTGTGGTGGGCGAGGTGGGCGAGGGCGTGGTAGGTGTGGTGGGTGTGGTAGACCAGGTAGACCAGGTAGACGAGGTGGGTGTGGTGGGCGAGGTGGGCGAGGGCGTGGTAGGTGTGGTGGGTGTGGTAGACCAGGTAGACAAGGTGGGTGTGGTGGGCGAGGTGGGCAAGGGCGGGGCCCTGTGGAGAGAATGAGACCAGTGGGAGAATGAGATCATTTGGAGATGTTCCTTAACAGCTGCAGAGCACAGGTCCACAACGTCAAGGCGCCAGCAACAAACAGCACCATGGAAGGCAGAATAGGCGAGAGTTCAGAAGTCTCTTGAATGGAGCAATGCAGACGAGACGATGGAGGGAGGAGGGAATTCCAGATCAGAGCCGTGCGAGGGAATTGATGTGACCTACAGTGTGTTGAGAGAGTGCATGAGTATGTGAATTTGCGGTTAAGTAGGTGAGTGATTGGGTGGGTGAGTGAACGGAGTGTAGGGGCAGAGTGAGTGAGTGAGAGTGTAGGGGGGGGGGGTGTCTGAGTGAGTGAGTGTATGGAGGAGTGTGTGTCTAAGTGAGTGAGACTGAGTGAGTGTATGGTGGAGTGTGTGTCCGGGTGATTGAGTGAGTGTATCGTGGAGTGTGTTTCTGTCTGGGTGAGTGAGTGAGTGTATGGTGGAGTTTGTGTCGGAGTGAGTGAGTGAGTGTATGTTGGAGTGTGTGTCTGGGTGAGTAAGTGAGTGTATGGTGGAGTGTGTGTCTGAGTGAGTGAGTGTATGGTGGAGTGTGTGTCTGGGTGAGTGAGTGTATGGTGGAGTGTGTGTCTGTGTGAGTGAGTGAGTGTATGGTGGAGTGTGTGTCCGGGTGAGTGAGTGACTGTATGGTGGAGTGTGTGTCTGGGTGAGTGAGTGAGTGAGTGTATGGTGGAGTGTGTGTCTGTGTGAGTGAGTGAGTGTATGGTGGAGTGTGTCCGGGTTAGTGAGTGACTGTATGGTGGAGTGTGTGTCTGGGTGAGTGAGTGTATGGTGGAGTGTGTGTCTGGGTGAGTGAGTGAGTGTATGGTGGAGTGTGTGTCTGTGTGAGTGAGTGTATGGTGGAGTGTGTGTCCGGGTGAGTGAGTGACTGTATGGTGGAGTGTGTGTCTGGGTGAGTGAGTGAGTGTATGGTGGAGTGTGTGTCTGTGTGAGTGAGTGAGTGTATGGTGGAGTGTGTGTCCGGGTGAGTGAGTGACTGTGTGGTGGAGTGTGTGTCTGGGTGAGTGAGTGAGTGTATGGTGGAGTGTGTGTCTGGGTGTCTGAGTGAGTGAGTGTATGGTGGAGTGTGTGTCTGGGTGTCTGAGTGAGTGAGTGTATGGTGGACAGTGTGTCCGGGTGACTGAGTGTATGGTGGAGTGTGTGTCTGGGTGAGTGAGTGAGTGTATGAGTAAGTGTTTGTCCGGGCAAGCGAGTGTCGTTGTGACCTGCAGAGTGGTAGCCGATCTCGAATCAACAAGGTTTAAGTTCATAGATTAAAGAGTCCAACAATCTGGGAGATTGTTAGGGGGGGTGAGGGAGTGGCGTCCTGTGGGGGGAGGTGAGGGAGTGTCGCCCTGGTGGGGTGAGGGAGTGACGCCCTGGGGGGGTGAGGGAGTGACGCCCTGGGGGGGTGAGGGAGTGACGCCCTGGGGGGGGGAGGGAGTGACGCCCTGGGGGGGTGAGGGAGTGACGCCCTGGGGGGGTGAGAGAGTGTCGCCCTGGGGGGGTGAGGGAGTGTCGCCCTGGGGGGGTGAGGGAGTGACGCCCTGGGGGGGTGAGGGAGTGACGCCCTGGGGGGGTGAGGGAGTGACGCCCTGGGGGGGTGAGGGAGTGACGCCCTGGGGGGGTGAGAGAGTGACGCCCTGGGGGGGTGAGAGAGTGTCGCCCTGGGGGGGTGAGAGAGTGTCGCCCTGGGGGGGTGAGAGAGTGTCGCCCTGGGGGGGTGAGGGAGTGACGCCCTGGGGGGGTGAGGGAGTGACGCCCTGGGGGGGTGAGGGAGTGACGCCCTGGGGGGGTGAGGGAGTGACGCCCTGGGGGGGTGAGAGAGTGTCGCCCTGGGGGGGTGAGGCAGTGACGCCCTGGGGGGGTGAGAGAGTGACGCCCTGGGGGGGTGAGGGAGTGACGCCCTGGGGGGGTGAGAGAGTGTCGCCCTGGGGGGGTGAGAGAGTGTCGCCCTGGGGGTGTGAGAGAGTGTCGCCCTGGGGGGGTGAGGGAGTGACGCCCTGGGGGGGTGAGAGAGTGTCGCCCTGGGGGGGTGAGAGAGTGTCGCCCTGGGGGGGTGAGAGAGTGTCGCCCTGGGGGGGTGAGGGAGTGACGCCCTGGGGGGGTGAGAGAGTGTCGCCCTGGGGGGGTGAGAGAGTGTCGCCCTGGGGGGGTGAGAGAGTGTCGCCCTGGGGGGGTGAGGCAGTGACGCCCTGGGGGGGTGAGAGAGTGTCGCCCTGGGGGGGTGAGGGAGTGACGCCCTGGGGGGGTGAGGGAGTGACGCCCTGGGGGGGTGAGAGAGTGTCGCCCTGGGGGGGTGAGGGAGTGACGCCCTGGGGGGGTGAGGGAGTGACGCCCTGGGGGGGTGAGGGAGTGACGCCCTGGGGGGGTGAGAGAGTGTCGCCCTGGGGGGGTGAGGGAGTGACGCCCTGGGGGGGTGAGGGAGTGACGCCCTGGGGGGGTGAGAGAGTGTCGCCCTGGGGGGGTGAGAGAGTGTCGCCCTGGGGGGGTGAGAGAGTGTCGCTCTGGGGGGGTGAGGCAGTGACGCCCTGGGGGGATGAGAGAGTGTCGCCCTGGGGGGGTGAGGGAGTGACGCCCTGGGGGGGTGAGGGAGTGACGCCCTGGGGGGGTGAGGGAGTGACGCCCTGGGGGGGTGAGAGAGTGTCGCCCTGGGGGAGTGAGGGAGTGACGCCCTGGGGGGGTGAGGGAGTGACGCCCTGTGGGGGTTAGGGAGTGACGCCCTGGGGGGGTGACAGAGTGTCGCCCTGGGGGGGTGAGGGAGTGACGCCCTGGGGGGGTGAGGGAGTGACGCCCTGGGGGGGTGAGAGAGTGTCGCCCTGGGGGGGTGAGAGAGTGTCGCCCTGGGGGGGTGAGAGAGTGTCGCCCTGGGGGGGTGAGGCAGTGACGCCCTGGGGGGGTGAGAGAGTGTCGCCCTGGGGGGGTGAGGGAGTGACGCCCTGGGGGGGTGAGGGAGTGACGCCCTGGGGGGGGGAGGGAGTGACGCCCTGGGGGGGGTGAGAGAGTGTCGCCCTGGGGGGGTGAGGGAGTGACGCCCTGGGGGTGTGAGGGAGTGACGCCCTGGGGGGGTGAGGGAGTGACGCCCTGGGGGGGTGAGGGAGTGACGCCCTGGGGGGGTGAGGGAGTGACGCCCTGGGGGGGTGAGAGAGTGTCGCCCTGGGGGGGTGAGGGAGTGACGCCCTGGGGGGGTGAGGGAGTGACGCCCTGGGGGGGTGAGGGAGTGACGCCCTGGGGGGGTGAGGGAAGTGACGCCCTGGGGGGTGAGGGAGTGACGCCCTGGGGGGGTGAGGAAGTGACGCCCTGGGGGGGTGAGGGAGTGACGCCCTGGGGGGGTGAGGGAGTGACGCCCTGGGGGGGTGAGGGAGTGACGCCCTGGGGGGGTGAGAGAGTGTCGCCCTGGGGGGTGAGGGAGTGACGCCCTGGGGGGGTGAGGGAGTGACGCCCTGGGGGGGTGAGAGAGTGACGCCCTGGGGGGGGTGAGGGAGTGACGCCCTGGGGGGTGAGGGAGTGACGCCCTGGGGGGGTGAGGGAGTGACGCCCTGGGGGGTGAGAGAGTGTCCGCCCTGGGGGGGTGAGGGAGTGGACGCCCTGGGGGGGTGAGGGAGTGACGCCCTGGGGGGGTGAGGGTAGTGACGCCCTGGGGGGTGAGGGAGTGACGCCCTGGGGGGGTGAGGGAGTGACGCCCTGGGGGGTGAGGGAGTGACGCCCTGGGGGGTGAGAGAGTGTACGCCCTGGGGGGGTGAGGGAGTGACCGCCCGGGGGGGGTGAGGGAGTGACGCCCTGGGGGGTGAGGGAGTGACGCCCTGGGGGGGTGAGGGAGTGACGCCCTGGGGGGGTGAGGGAGTGACGCCCTGGGGGGGTGAGGGAGTGACGCCCTGGGGGGGTGAGGGAGTGACGCCCTGGGGGGGTGAGGGAGTGACGCCCTGGGGGGGTGAGGGAGTGACGCCCTGGGGGGGTGAGGGAGTGACGCCCTGGGGGGGTGAGGGAGTGACGCCCTGGGGGGGTGAGAGAGTGTCGCCCTGGGGGGGTGAGGGAGTGACGCCCTGGGGGGGTGAGGGAGTGACGCCCTGGGGGGGTGAGGGAGTGACGCCCTGGGGGGGTGAGGGAGTGACGCCCTGGGGGGGTGAGGGAGTGACGCCCTGGGGGGGTGAGGGAGTGACGCCCTGGGGGGGTGAGGGAGTGACGCCCTGGGGGGGTGAGAGAGTGTCGCCCTTGGGGGGGTGAGGCAGTGACGTCGCTGTGCGCCACCGCTGCCCCGTGCAGGAGGAGTGACGCTGCGGCGCCATGGCGCACGCCGCCTCGCAGATGAAGAAGTCTCGGGACGTGGTGGTGCCCACCGAGGAGCCTGGAACCCCCGGGGGGGTGGGCGTGGGGGGAGCAGGAGGAGGTGGTGGGGGGGACAGCGGCGGCGATGCGGACTCGGCGCGGCCCAAGCGCGGTGGGGGCAGCACCCGCAGGCGCAGCACGGAGCGCAGGCGCAAGGTGAGTGGGGGGGGGGGGGCAGGGGGTGAGTAGGGTGGTGAGACGTGGGGTGGGGTGCTGGTCCCCGTAAGGGTCGGAGTTCAGGGCATGCTGTGGCGCACGCGCCGCTGTCTGGGCCATGCCCACGACACAAGGATGAACCGGTCCCCGGAACGGGGGAAACGGCGGAGATGGGTGCGTGGACAGCGCCCGTTCTTAGCGATCAACGGCGACTTTACAATCGCAGGGTCAGACGAGCGAGCCCTGCTGCGCTGTCGAGGCGCAGAATGGACGGGCGACCTGGGTGGTGTAGGGGTCCCGACAAATCTGCGGTGGAAGGCAACGCCCGGGCCACTGCCAAAGCTCTCTGATATTGGTGGGGACTGGACGTGGCACGTGCTGTGATCTGGGGCGATGTGCCTTCCTGCATGTTGACTCCGTGACCCCGGTACAATGCAAACGCAGAATCGGTGGTGGCTGCTCTTGAACGTCTTTGTGTGTGTATGTGTCTGTGAGTGTGCATCGGTGCATCCACACAATATCATGCATGGATGCATGCCGGGTCCAAGCAAGAACATCTTCTGGACTACATAGTGACCACTACAGTAATTCTGTTTTTGCTGTGGTTGTCCCACTTGATGACGGAAGCTTGTGTTGCCTCCAAAACGTCGTGATTTAATTTAGTAATTTTTATTTGTATTTATTTATTTATTATTTTCACCTACGTTACTTTACCGAAAGATCCAAAGAGTATGGATCCTTGCAGTCACGAAAACTTCAAACCTCAATGTGGTTTCAGGAAAGGGTGGTCCTGCATGGATGCCATATTTTCTGTTCGTCTGCTACAGCAGAGATGTAGGGAATTCCAACAAGACCTACATCTCTGCTTTATTGACCTGGTCAAGGCCTATTATACCATCATTAGGCCTGGGCTCTGGGTTGTTCTTCGTGCTTTCGAAGTCCCTGACCCTCTGCTCACGATCATTAAGGACCTTCATAATGGTGAGCGGGCTCAGGTAAAACTACGTGGCCGGGAGTCGGAGCCATTCACTGTACACCTTGGGGTGCAACAGGGATGTCCTCTGGCTCCCACATTATTTAACATCTATTTTGACCACGTAGTTCGTGAGGCCTTAAATATCTGTACCGGAGGAATTTCCATCTGGTACAGATATAATGGGAGGCTGATCGATACCCGGGTGTGGTCAAGGGATGGCTCCCTATTGCTCAACCATGTTATATATGCCGATGATCTGGTAATCGCTGCTCACTCAGATGAGGCGTTGGAGGCGCTGCTGCTAAACCTGGAGCTTGCCACTAAGAGGTGTGGGGCCTTACCCTCAGCCCCACCAAAACTAAGCACCTGCCAGGGTATTTTGTACCATTGGACACTCCACCCCCACAACTCCAAAATGGTGATGGGGCAGTTGTGGAGAGAGTGAAGAGTTTCCCATATCTGGGCAGTGTGCTTATGACCGGCTCCGGTTTAACAGCAGAGGTCTCACTCCGAATCAGTCGAGCGGCATTATATTGTCGGCCTTCTGTGGAGGAAGCTCGTGAAGGACGCTACTTGGCAGTTGGAGGCAGTCGCCCTCCAACAACAATGGAGGGCGGAGGAGTGACGCTCGCAACAATGAGCGGAGCGCCGGGTGGCTAAAGCACAGCAATTTGGCACAGTAGGGGGCACAGGTGGTGCATCAGCCACTCATCTCAGTCAGTCGACCCGTGGCACCTGCTGGGTCTGCCTCGTGACCTCCTGCCAGCGGGCGTTCAACACTTCACCTGGCCTCAAGGTGCACATAGCCTGGCACAAGCATCGTGGTGACATCACTGCCACTTAGTAGCGAATGGCGGTTGTTGTTGATGTTGGGGAGCGGGAGTGTAGCGGTTAGCGCGCTGTACTACAATCACGGCGACCCGAGTCCGATTCCCGCTCACGACCAACAACAGTGACGATATATTTGAACTGGTCTTGGATCTACCATCGGTCAACACAGCCTTAAATGAGTACCTGATGCAGTATGCAAACATCAGCATTGGGGAGAGAAAGGCGGCTGGGCGTGGTGTTGACCACCCACCCCTTCGGGTGCCATGCCGGCCTTCATAGGTGCTCGCAAACAGCACGTGCCTTAACAGTCTGTGAACTTCTCTACGGATAATTGTCTTTGTGTGTGTGGCTCCTTACTGGTCAACCGTCTTGCGTATACTGATGATGTGATGGTTAGTGCTCACTCTGAAGAAAGGATTTTGAGGTTCTGCTGCTGAACCTGGAGTGTGCCACTGTGAGGTGGGGCCTTACCAGCCGCCCCACCAAAACTAAGCATCTGCCTGGGCATATCATTCAATACACCACTTTCTCAACTCCTGCTGAGTGATGGGGCAGTTGTGAAGAGCAAGTGGAGACGTTTCCGTACATGGGTAGGTGTGCTTATGACCAACTCCGGTTTGGCATCAGAGGTCTCGCTCAGAATCATCCGAGTGGCATTATCTTTTCGTCAGCTGCATAACACTGTTTGGAAGCTACCTGGTCTGTTGCGCCATACGTAGCTTAGGTTCTTCTCGTTCACAGGCATGCCCTCGCTTCTCTACGCTTGCGAAATGTGGAACACTTTATAGGAACATCTGCGCCAATTTGAATTAGTCGGGCCTACGCTCCATCCTGGGTTTAACCAGGCTAGATTGTGTAAGGTGCTCAAAAATCCTCGAAAGATCTGGACACAGGTCCATTGATGAGCTCCTCCAGAAGGTGAGGCGGCGTTGGCTGGGTCATGTAGCCAACATGCCCAGCCACCGCATGGTTAAGCAGACGCTGTTTGACCCTGTGGTGGCTGGGCATTCGCATGGACGGGGCTCAGAGGTCGCAATCGGGTACCCGATACCCGTACCCTACCCGATACCCGGCTACCCGTACCCGGCCGGGTATCGGGTACGGGTACGGGTACCCGTTTGCGACCCTGGTGCGTACGGGTACGGGTAAGGAATCAAAACCCGTTTGCGACCTCTGACGGGGCTAAAAAAAAGCACAGCACGAGCTAGAGAAGAGATGGAATTATGCGGGTACCAAAGGATGTGGAGCTGATTGAACTTGCCGATCGCTGGTACCAGTGGTGTCAACATCGGCTTCTGTGGAGGAGGTTCGTGAAGGACGCTGTTGGGCAGTTGGAGGCAGTTTCCCTCCAGCGACAGCAGAGAGCAGAGGAGCGATGCTTGCAACGTTGAGCCAAGCGCCGGACAGATAAAGCGCAGCAAGTTGGCACAGTTGGGGGCACAGCTGGTCCATCTGCCGGCCATCTCAGCCAGTCAATCCATAGCACCTGGGTCTGTTCCGTGACCTGCCAGCGAGCTTTCAACACTTCACATGGCACAATCACTGTGGTGATGTCATCACCGCTTAGTGGCAAATGGTGGCTGTTGTGTATGTGTGTGATGGTGAGCGGTAGTGTAGCAGCTATCTCACTGCGCTATGAACCCGTCGACCAGGGTTCGATTCCCGCTCACGGCCAACACCAGTGACAATTATTGTAACTGGTTCAGTACCACGTGCTGTATGTGTAAACATCGCCACTGTGGAAACAAAGACGTCCGGGCGTGCTGTTGGCCACCCACCCCCTCGTGTGCCATGCTGGCTTTCATTGGTACTCGTACAGCACTTGCCCCAAAAGTCTACTAAGGCTATACGGGGGGGAGGTCTTTGTCTTTGTACGTGTGTATCTCTGTGTGTGTGTGTATCTCTATCCTAGCGGTTAGCGCGCTGCGCTATGAACCCGGCAACACGAGTTCGATTCCCGCTCACGGCCAACACCAGTGACGATTATCTGAACCGGTCCCGGGCCTCCCCTAGGTCGACTCAGCCTCAAATGAGTGCCTGGTGCGGTGTGTAAACATTGCCACTAGGGAGACAAAGGCGATCGGGCGTGGTGCTGGCCACCCACCCACTCGTGTACCGTTCCGGCCTTCATAGGTGCTCGCTAACAGCACTTGCCCCAACAGTCTGTTAAAGGCTATACGGGGGTTCTTTGTTCTTTGTGTATCTCTGTGTGTGTGTATATCTCTGTGTTTGTATATCTCTGTGTGTGTATCTATCTCTGTGTGTGTGTATCTATTTGTGTGTGTGTGTATCTGTGTGTGTGTGTATCTATGTGTGTGTGTATCTGTCTGTGTATGTATCTGTGTGTGTGTGTATCTCTGTGTGTTTGTGTATCTCTGTGTGTGTGTATCTCTCTATGTATGTGTGTATCTGTGTGTATGTATCTGTGTGTGTGTGTGCACGTCTGTATTATTAGAGACTCTGTGGAGCAGCTATTTCTGACGCTCGCATCTGCTTGTGCCGCGCGCTATGCGTGGTATGCACAAGCTATGCGTGAGCTATGTGGGTGTGTGTGAGCTCCGTGTGTGTGGGAGCTGTGGTTGTGCCACGGTTTCGAGATGTGAACTCACTCGCCTGGGTATGGAGGAGGTTGTGGGTTCGATTCCGACCCTGACGCCTGCTGTATATTTGAAGTTTGTGTGTCTCTCAACCCGTGGTCGCGTGGATTTTTCTCCAGGTCCTCCCGTTTTTCCCGTCACATTTATTTGTGGCCAGGTGGCTTCTGAAAAATAGCTGTACAGCTCAGAAGGACCCTTCCTGGAAGAAAAAATGTGTTTAGTTTATAGTTTAGTTTGTATGTCCTATGCACGTGTTGTGCATATGTGTGTATGTATATTTGCATGTATCTGCGTGTATCTGTGTGTATCTGTGTGTATCTGTGTGTGCGCGGGCATGGTGCTGCTCCCCCCCCCCCCGCCTCTTGTGCCGTGCCGGCATTTGTCGGTGCTACCCGCTAATAGCACTTGCCCAAAACCGCCTGTTAGGGCTACACGGGGGATCTTTGTCTTTGTACGTGTGTGCACACCCACAGTGTGAATGTGGCATCAACATGGCCAGGGCCTCCTCCCATGCGGGGCGCCCGCGTCTCCAGTAGCAGTGGCTCGCAGCGAGCGGCTCGCAAATCGGAAGGATTCAAGCGGGGGGGGGGGGGTGA